ACTATCCAACAGACCTTTCTGGTATGGTAAGACCTCACTACCTTTTTACTTGATGAACTGACGTGAGGTGTGGCAACTCGGACCGTTACGCAGTAATGCCTGGCCCTATGTTGATAATGATGATGATACTACTATGAAGTGTTGCAAGTCGAACCGATGCAAAGTTCTATGCTGATTCTGACTGTTTGTCTTGTCTAGGCATATTTTTAGATGAGTATCAAAGTAGTATTATTGTATTATTTTAATACTAAATTAAGTCAGGGAAAAACCAGCGTATCACTAATCATATAATCTTAACTTTGTTATTCATTTGATTTTCGGGTAGGTTTAGTGTTATATTCCCTTATATTTCCATTCTTACAATTTGTATATATTTGAAGTATAATTCTGCGTGCTCTTTTTCCATCGTATGGTTCATATTTTATATAACCCACTAGCGTTTTGATTGGCTTCTGCCCCTTTGAATGTACTAACTATTCCCTTGTCTTTCAAGTTTACTGTTAAACTCTATCAATAGGGTTCGTTTTCATTTCGAGATACTATAAACTTAGTTGATTACCAGTCATTTGATTTCCTTCTGGGAATCACTTGGATTAAATCATCTCAACCCTCAATTATCTATAGTTAAGTATTATCATTCGTTTCCACAACTCCACATCGTAATATTTAGCCCTCTAAAATCTATAAAATTCTGATGTATGATCAGTTCTGTTGCATTTAATATTGAAATGTTCACCTCACCTCACCTCACTACCTTTCTACTTGGTGTACTGATATGAGCTGTGGCAACTTGGACCGTTACACAGTTATACCTGGTCCTATGTTGATATTGATGATGATGATGATGATGATTGTGATGAGAAGTCTTATAAGGGGGAACACTCACCTGACTCGACTGTAAGGAGAATAGTCCTGCAAAGGATGAATAAGTGTTATTGTTACGCACTGAGTTCATGAGTAGATGCTAATCTTTTCCTCATTTGTTTCTAATAACATATTTCATCTAAACTGGTCATGTTCAGTATTTGGGTTTCATAGAAATCAAATAAGTAACAACCTTGGTTATTATTTAATCAAATTCGGTAACATTCTGATAGTTGGTGTAATTCCCTAACCCTAAACCGTTGACTTCCTTGATCCACATTTCTGGAATATTGTCTTACGACATGGGGTATTACTTGAATTAGTATCTTACCAGTCTTACAGATGATGTAAACTGACTAGTCCGAACTAAAACATCCATTTACATCTCATGAGCATAGCTGGTGCAACTATCCATGTAAATGACAAATCTGAACCAGTATTACAGCGAAGAGTTTGTTTTTGGCGATTTAATTTTCAAAGCTATACAGTCGCAAAATTTTATACATTTTTTTCTTCTAGTGTAAGGATTCCCACCACGCTTTATAGACAAAAACATCAAGCTTAAACCTTGTACAGGGAACCTTACCACCATGCCAAAAAGACACTCTATAATGAATCGAAGCTTCATAGGGGATTCTGCGACTGACACTTTAGAAAGGAGGATATCAAACGCTTCAAGGAGGACATTCTTTACATCAACACTGAGACTAGTATTCTCTTGTAGCCCAATGATTTCGAACAACTCAAAGGCGAAACTTTCACATCTGACCACTTCTCTATGCAGATATCAATTCACCTGCTCTTGCGGAGTCAGTTATATAGGTCGTTCAATGTGACTGTTATTCAAAAGGGTTCAAGAACACTATCTCACTTGGTTATCGAAAAAAGGAACAATGAAGCGATAAGGAGTGCTATAATTGAACACATCATGAACACGAATCCTCTGATCTCAAGAACCTCGTTTAAAGTCATCTATAAAGCGAAAAGAGACCTTCCAAAGGCTGAATATCTTCGTATTCTCTGCATTAGCGAAGCTCTTGCCATCCAAATGGAGAAGCCTGAACTGTGTACACAAAAGAAGATTGTCCAACCGCTTCTCTTTTCATGGTCTTAGTTTTCAATCTCCTCTACCCCAACTCGCCCACCTTTTCATTTTTCTGTTTTGATACAATTCACTTCTTAAGTAATTTGCTACTCATTCTTGTTACTGTGCTCTGCCTGATCACAATTATGTCATCGTCATGACACGAAACGTCTTCTTGTCCAAACTTATTTTGATTAGTATTCACTAGTCATCAGTCTTGTTTTTGGTTTTTGATTTTAATGGCACCCCATTTATTGACACTAATTGTATTTTTTTCAAGTTGGTATTCATGATGGACCGACATCAGTTGAAGAAATATTGGAAACGTGGGAGCACTGGAGACAACCACTGTTTTGTCCAACTAATATGGGACTCCTCAACAGTGCGTACCTATGACTTCGTCCTCTGGACATAGAACCCAGGACTTTCAGGTTTCGTGGCCAGCACGTTACCATGGAGCCATTGTTCGTCCATATTTCTACATTCTGTCAGTTCACGATACAGCATGATCATCACCCAATGTTATGGGTGAGTATTTATCCTCACTATCACCAAGTTTGTCCCATCTGTCACGACTTTTCATTTGGACTTCAGGAATCACCTGTCGAAGCTAATCACCAATGAGCACCAGTTGAATTGAATTTTGAGGGAGTTGTGGAGATTTAACAATATTTCAAGTTGTTATTCATCGTAGACTGACATGAGTTGGAGGAAGAAAGGAAACCCGGGAGCACTGGACAGCTGTTTCGTCGTAGTATGGGACTCCTCAGCAGTGCGCACCCACGACCTTCAGATTCCGTGGCCAGCACGTTACCATTGAGCTAGCCACTGAGTCAGAATCCAATGGTCCATATTTCCAACTTCTGTTAACTCACGATATAGCTCAATTGCCACCCAATGTTATCATTGAGTAACTGTCCTCACGAGCATCAGGCTTTGCCCCACCAGTCACGACTTCTCATTGGAACTTCGGGAATACCTCTTGAAGCTAGTCACCAATGAGCACTATTTGTGTTGTCACGTTTGACAAACCATTTTCAACTATCGAACGCTTACACTAGAAAAGAAAATGTATAAATTTGTGATTGTGTACAACTTTGGTTATGAAATCACCGAGAAAAGAGACTCTTCGATGTAATACTTAATTGTTCGTTCTTTCATATTCTAATGGGTATATTTCACATATGTGAACCACTCAACCATTGAATTCTCTTTCAAAATCTTTTGAAGATTGTACTGTTCTCCGGTGAAATTGTTATACGGCACTAATTCTTCGATGCCTGAGTAGAGCTCAGGAACAGCAAGCCCGAGAAAACCAGGCAGGCTTTAGACCAGATCGCAGGTGTATCGACCAAATATTCACACTGCGCCAAGCTCTGGAACCCAGACACGCCTACTAACTGCCAACAGTGACTGTATTTCCCTACCTGAAGGCGGCATTTGACCTCGTTGATCGAGAAGTCTTATGGCAATGTCTGTCACAGAAAGGCGTGCCGAGTAAGTACATCACCTTATTGAAAGCTCTCTACTCGAACACTTGCGGGCGTGTTAGAGCCTATGGTGAGGTATTCGAGGAGCTGTACTCGTCACGTGGTGTCCGTCAAGACTGTCCATTCTCTCCATTCTTATTCAATTTTATCATAGATATTCTTATAGAGGTTTCCCTCTCGTCACCTGATTACACAGAGGTTGATGTAATGGCGGGAGAATTTTCGTTAGACCTAGAATACGCAGATAACATAGTCCTGTGAAGACACTGACAAGACGCAGAGTCTTCTGAACACTTTGAATGGGAATTTGAGAATGTTTGGTTTGCGTTTTTCACCACCCAAACTCAAATTGTTGCTCCATGATTGGTGTTCAACGGTGCCTCGGCTAACAATGGAGAGTGTAGTGATTGAGTGTGTTGACCACTTCACTTACCTGGGAAGTGGGATCAGCCCTGGTACGTTGGTTAGTGGCCGATGAAATCTCTTCACGGATGAAAACGACTCGGTTGACTTTTGCCAACTTACACCACCTGTGGGGATGCCGTGATATCCGATTGTCTATTAAGGGTCGCGTGTATTGCACAGCAGCGCGTTCTGTTCTGCTCTTTGGCCATTAAAGGCGGAAGACATGAGAAAGCTTCAGGTTTTTGACCACCGTTGCCTTCGTAGTATAGGCCGTATTTCGTGGTGTCACCACGTGAGTAATACAGAAGTCAGGAGTAGAGTTTTAGGGAGAAGAGGTAAGTCAGTTGACGAGTTTGTGAACCTTCATCGACTGAGATGGTTGGGACACGTGTTACATATGTCTAGTCGCCGACTGCCTCGTTACACAATGTTGGCCGAAGTAGGTTCAGGCTGGAAGGAGGCCCGAGGCGGCCAGGCTAAAACATGGCATCAATGTATGAAGTCTTTGACTGTTAATTTGAGCCATGTAGGACGATGCAGACTAGGTGGTTGGAGTCTGGGGGAAAGGAGGAACCAGTGGTTGGAGACTGACTCTAGGTGATCACATGGCTCAGAACTGATGTCAGTGGCACAGATGTATACATACATTATCTTTCGAACGCCGAACTCGTCGTTTTCCACTTGCGTCCCACTCTAGGGTCTGCCCTGGCGCATGATGTCCCCCAAACCGTCTTATCGGTGTATGTGCAACCCAATCAACTCCACTTTCTTCTTCAGCATACTTGTTCAGCGATAGCTTCTTGCTTCGTTCCCAGAGTTCCTTGTTGCTTATTCTTTCTGGCCATCCATTTGATCTTTAGTATCGAGCTAGCGTAGGCAGCTGTTGATGTATGATATCTGTAGTTTGTTGGTAATGGTTTTCATAACGCGCCAAGTTTGTGAACCATATAGAAGCACTGACTTGACTGACTAGGTGTTGAAAATCCGGATCTTGTTCCTGTGCTTTAAAGTTTGTTTTTTTTAGCGGTTGGATTGGTTTTACGGGGTAGGGTTGCTAGCCTCACAATCAACCTTCCTTCTTTATCCTGGTGTAGGACAGGATGTGTAATTAAATTATTTTCTCTTTGTTTCTTTGACTATTACTTTTTTTTTTATAGAGATTGTATCATATTGGAACAGAACAAAGAAAAGTCTGGCTCAAATCCCTTGAAACGTATATGTTCCAATCATGAACGTAGTCCTCAGTTAATCACCTCTAGTGATGAAGAATCCGGTCCACCGGCGAAATCACGTAGAATAAAATGAAAGAATAATCATGAATCACTCTTGATATTTCGCCAGTATTTTTGTAACAGACAAAAGAATCTACAAAATACAATCATCTTCCTATTGATGATTTCTTTTAGCCAATATTTGATATATTCTCTTGGTTGTGTTGTCTTGTCTAAGCTGATTATGGTTTAGTTTAATGGTGAAGTTTTCATTGTCTTCTTAGGCAACGTTATCAGCAGTACTAACCCGGAATATGAAGTATCCAGTTTACTCTGACGAAATGCTTTGTAATTAATTGTCTCCTTTGATTATTGTTTCATTTACTAGATAGATTTGCATGTTGATTGTTTCTCTGTTGAATTCAACTTTGAAAATGTTGACATCTTGTAAAACCTTCTACTAGACGTTATTATTCTTATTTGTCCCTTGGGTTCCTAATGGAACATACGCCTTCAGTAGCACGTCTCCAGTGCACTCTGTTCTCTGCAAACTTTTGAACCTGGCTCCACGACAGCCCACAAGCTCTCATTTCTTCCTCACATGATCTCCTTGTCACTATCGGATGCCCAACTCGTCGCTTCCCATGGGGATTCCACTCGAGGGACTGGCCTGGTGCGTGATGTCCCCAGTCGGCCTTCTCAGTGTATGCCAAATCCATCTCCACTTCCTTCCAGTGCATATTTGTTGAGCGATAGATTGTTGCTTCATTGGTTCGTTCCCGGATCAGAGTTTCTTGTTACTTATTCTCATTATTCTGGCCATCTGATGTTGAGTAAGGAGCCAGTGTAGGTTGCAGTTGTTGATGAATGTGTGTAGTTTGTTGGAAATCCCTTTCGTAACGTGGCAAGTCTCTGAGACATAGAGGAGTACTGACTTGACTAAATTGGTGTTGAAAATCCGTATGTTGTTTACGCTTTATGCTGAGTGCAGAAGATGTGCACACTGGTTTCATGTTAATGAAGGAAGGCGTGTCTTGCTGTGTTTCCGATGCTGGCTGGCTGGTTTTGACGTCCTCGTCTGTGCCTGTGGCGCCTGTAGTTGAAACAGTGCTGCGTAGATAGGTGAAGGAGGTTACTTGGTTTAAGTTTCTGCCGTTGATGGTGATTGGAGTTTGTTGTTGTTGTTGTTGTTGTCGGTTAGGTATCTTCATTACCTCTGTCTTCTCTATATTCACCTGGAGTGCGATCTTCGCTACCCTGCGTGTTCTGTCAACTTGTTAGTTTTTGCCTATCGATCTTCGAGTTTGTGCGACATTAGACATAAATGATCATCAGCGAAATGCAAGTCTTCTAGGTTCTTTTCCGTGGTCGAGCCAGCGTACGCCCTCTTCTCGCTCCTCACAGTTTGTTGCATGATCCAGTCCAACACAATCAAGAATATCATGGGTGATAGTAGACGATAGCCTTGTTTTACTCCTGTCTTCACTTCGAAGGCATCATTGAGCTCCCCATTGTGAATTACTTGACATGTGGTTTCTTCATATAGTTGTTGAACCAGATTGATAAAGGTTTGTGGTATTCCGTAGTGGTGAAGCAACTGCCAAATTACTTGTCGATTGACGCTGTCGATCGCCTTTTCGAATTCGATGAAGTTGAGGTGTAGAGTTGACTGCCATTCTATACTCTGTTCTATGTTGATGCGTAGTGTAGTGTTGCAATTTGGTCCACACATGATTTGTATCTCCTTATCCAGCCTGTTCTGGTCGTAGTTTTTAATCCAGGGCATCCTTTAGTTTTTCCAGGATGATACGACTGAATATTTTGTTTGAGGTGGACAGGAGCGTGATTCTGCGCGAGTTCTTGCAAACACTGAGGTCTCCCTTCTTTGGTATTGAAATTTTCTTCATCATCTTTTATTGGTTTCATCTGTGTTGATCTCTTTTCTCTCAGATCGTTACCTGGTTATTTGATACAATGTTGTCAGGTCTCTATCTCTCCTACCTGCAGCCTGCAGCCTGTTCTGCTTCACTTGCCAGTGTTTCATAGAAGTGTCTTTTGTATTTCCGCAAACTCAACTCTTCTTCACTTCTTTGTCCAGTGTAATGTTTTATACATTTTACTCAATTCCTCTTGTCGTTGAGCATCCTTGCACTGGTTTATCTTCTGCTTCACCATCCTCCCCTCCTCTGTCAGCTTCCATGTATCCGTCGATATCCATTCCTTATCTTCTTTCTTCTTGCTTCCTAACATGGTTGTGCAGGTTTCTTTCCACATAGCTTCCAAAGAGTTGTAGTGCTCATCCACACAGGTTTCTTCACGGATGTTCCTCGATATCTCCCATTTTGTTTTGATGGTTGACGTTAAGATTTCCTTTGTAGTTTCATCCTTCTGTTTCCGGATGTTGAACCTGAACTGTGGTCTATCACTAACTACCTTGAAGGCTTTCAACTTGATTCAGAAGGTTCCTTGCACTAAATAGTAAGTGGTGTGAACCCACATCCACTCCCCTTCTTGATCTTATGTCCAGTAGGCTGGCTGCGTCTCCACTTTCTTCACACTGAAATGGAGTCGATCTGATTTTTAGTGTAATGTATCCTGGTGTCTGGTGAAATCAAATCCATGTCGCTTTGTGGATATCCTTGTGCTTGAACACACTGCCTCACCTCCAATCACCAAACCGTTGAATGCACAGAATTCTGCAAACAATTCTGCATTCTCGTTCATCACCTCACCGAGCGCTTCTCTACCCATGGTTAGTTCTCTTCCTGTGTTGTCCCCTCCCAGTTTGGCATTCATGTCATCCATTAGAATTTTGATATCGCCAACTGAGGTCTTTTCCAGTGCTGATTGGAGTTGTCTGTAGAATTCCTCCTTTTTCTCTTGGTCTGCATTATTTGTAGGTGCATAGCGTAGCATTGTATGATTGTGATCTTCCTTCCTTTTGAGTTGAACCTCGCTGTCATGATCCTGCAGGAGGAGATTGGTTCCCACTGCATGAGAGCCTTCGATGCTCTTCGAGGGGACATCATGATAGCCACTCGAGAACTCAGTGTGCTGTCCTCGTGGTTGTCGTCTGGGTGACAATATCGGAGTAAATTATTGATTCTCTAGTTGACAGTTTGGAGAGTCCACTCCCATTCCATCTGGTTTCGCAAATTCCAAGCACTTCAATGTGATACCTTCTCATCTCCTTTGCAATCTGGGCTGCCTTACTGGGTTCAAACATCGTGCGGACATTCCATGTTCCCACGTTTAATTTCGCTGTCATCGAGGGAGAGAAGACACATCGGCCAGTCAATTGGCTTCCCAAAGGCAGGCTTTCACCAACTGACGTCATTTCGCCTCTCCGATTCCAGCAAGGAATGATTTTGTTTTTATTTTTTATATATCGTTTGTGCTTTTAAGTTTCTTTAGCGGTTAGATTTGTTTTACGGTGTAGGGTTGTTAGCCCTATGCCCAACCCTCCCTGTTTCCCCGGGCTTAGGACCGGCTAGTAACTAGTGAACTAGTCAACTAGGCGAGGTTCTACTAGACATTACAGAAATCGATATGATGTCAAAAGTCATCGAACTTCTCTCATTCAAATATTCTAGACATTTCCAAGTTTTTAATCCCACAATTTTCACTAATAAACGTGACTACACGCTAATTTCTTCGCTCAACTTCGTTATGGTGCTTCATAAAGCCGGAAAATCGAAACTAAATCATACTTAAAGTTAATTTATTTTGTATATAATAGATAAGCTTATTTAAACCATATCCAAGAAACTGTTGATATACTGAGAACAGTTATAATTAATTGGCTATTGAAACGATCAAATGTTATTCGTGTAGAATCATTGCACAAATCTTTTTTATCACAACATTTTGTTGTATTAACCCATGGTGATTTAGTTTGATTACTTTCAATACATTTATCTTGTAAACATTCTCTGGCAACAGTATTCAAGAAACCATTTTTCCATCTAGTAGTTTTCTAGAAAAATTGTAAACAAAAATATATCATTGATATGATAATCAATTGTAATGCATAGTATGAATGTATAAAAATGGAATTCGCGAATAAAAGTTATACTACTGTATAATGGTAATAAGTAGTTTGATTCTATTGTGTAAAACAGTGAGATGTCTAATGCTATGCATACTTATACAAAATGATTAGGTTTTTGGATTACGGGTAATATTTTTAGCAAGATTACTGCCCATAATCAATACTAATGATTGAATTATGGGGAGTTAAGTGGTCTGACCTCCATTAGATATTCATACATGAGTGAGTTTGTTGTTTTCGGCTTTTCTTTCATCCACTAAACCGGTTAGTAATTCGTTTGCTGCTTAGGACTCGTCAGATGTATGTGCCTGTACTCTATTGAGTGGTGTTGTTCATACCATGAACTAATCCACTTTTATCATTATTCATATCATCTGAATATTGACTGAATAACTTTACTCCTCTCCTGTCTAACATTTTGCCAAATTATAAATACGAGTGTACAGCTTGAAAATACAGTTGCTGAAAGGAAATACTTCTTCATTGATGATCAACAATCCCGCTCTTTTTACTCATAACATTCTACGAGATAGATATGCCGAAGGTTTAACAAGAAACCGTGACCTATGGAGGGTTAACCAAGTTAGAAGTGGAGTAGATGCCGACTGAACAGTCTGGTAGATAGTCAGGCTGTATAGCGCGCGATTTAACACAAGTAGAAAACTGTGAGCCCTTGAACTCCGCAACCCAGTGGCTGAATGGTTAACACGTTCATCATAAGACCTGAAAGTTTTGAGTTCAATCCCTGGTGGGGTTTTGAATGTGTTCAGCCACATCGAGGTAGGTATGGCTCGAAATGCGCACGTGAGTTGATGAGATTCACAACCTCATGAATCGATTTGCTTAACCAAGCATGGGCGCTGCTACAAATACGTCTGTAATCAAAACTCTATAACCGCTTCATCTCTCACAGCTGCGTAACAGAACAGAGCCGAATGCAGAGTAGTATATTCTTCCTTTGATAGATAATCGGATATCTCGCCAGTTGGCACCTCAAATACCTGAAGTTGGCAAATGCCAAATATGTCTTTTGTATCAGAGACGAAATCGTGTGAGCAACCAGGCGGTTCGGGCTAATACAACTCATGAAGTAAGTGAATTAGTCTATATATTCCACCACTTCACTCCCTCTAGTTAAACTGAGAAGTGGTTAGTATCTCACTTGTCTCTAAGCTAAGATAGATTCTTTATGGTGCTAGAAGATGAAAATCAGCCGGCTAGAAGTCCTTCTCAACTTATGTTTTGTACATGTTGACACTCATCAACAATAAAATACTTGTTCATTGGCTATTTTACATAATACATAATACACAATAATGAAGTATTTCATCTCTCCGTCTAAATCGCATTGATATTTTTCGGATAGTATATGGTCATTCCTCCGATGTATGCGTCGTCATTCACCGAATATGCTAACCTTCTTTTGTTCAACTGCTGCAGTATCCCTTCTACTCGAGGCGGTAAAACTTAGTCGACATAATAGGGTAAAGTAAGTAGGGAAGACAACATGAAGAAGATGAAACGAAAATATGACGTTAATTTGTAAAGTTTTAAGCTTGAAATAATGGAGAATACTTGTAGTTCAGATGGATGGTCTTGGTGGTATCGTCTAATCGTGAAACTTCCATCATCTTGCTAGACGATGAAGTGAGCTATCAATATCTCTCCATGAGTGTTTTAGTAGCTTGCCTTGACGAAGTGGTCTGTGATTGGTTGTTTCCTTCGATTGTTGTTTCATTGACTATATAGACTTTCCTGTTGGCTGTTCGTTTCCTTGACCTCTCACGTTTCTGTCGTTTATCATTTTTCTCATTAGTTGATAGGTTGGGTCTATGTTTATACATCTAGTGATTGCTGACTGAATGACCTGAATACCAAACTTCTAGGAATTCTCTGATGATATTCTTTGTGTTTCCTCTCTCCGTTCAAGAATTCTACATTGTCAAGATTGAATTCATGTCCATAGTTGTTATCCACGTGGATTGACTGACGAGTGATGAAATGTCGTGTGTGATGTTTAATGGTCAATTGGTGTTCATGTAGAGGAAGGCGAAGGTGTGGCGGCCGCTTTGTCTAATGTAGTGTTGACTACAGTTATTCCAGTTGATTTTGTAATGATGTTCGCCTTGCCTTCTTTGCTTGTTGCATCCTTTGGTCTGTACAATAGGGTTTGAAGGGGATTTACTGTTTGATGAGTGGCCACTCCAATTCCAGGTGGTCTCAGTAATCTTGTCATAATTTCTGACAGTATTCTTTATGTATTGTAGGTTGATGTGTCTGTCGATGACTTTGTAGCTGATGTTCTACGGGATAACGTTTCGTGGGTAGCTGTTCTTCTTTAGGATGGGCATCAAGTAGTATTCTTCGTTTATACCAACTACTGTTCCTGGATGTTTTAGTCAGTAGAACCAATGTTGGAGAACTGAAAACCCAAGTATACAGGAAGCCAGTCAGTGTGTATTGGCTTCATATACACTTGGGTTTCCAGCTTTCCGACATTTGTCCTATTGACTAAAACATCCAGGAATGGTAGTTGGTTGTTTGACTCGTTCTCGAATTCTGTCATTGAAAACGTTGCTGATCTTTTTCAATGATGACAAAGTATCGTCTACATAGCGAATCGAAACTTTTGGTTTAACGTCAGGCAGGATGATGGCTTCCAGTCTCTGCATCACTGCTTCTTCAATCAATTCGGATATCGGTGATCCTATTGAAGTTCCTTTCTTCATGTGTCTGTATATCTTGCTATTGAATTGGAAGCATGTTGTCAGACAGATGTTGATGAGTTCCGTCAGACTTGAACATTTCAGTTTTGTGCATTCTGAAAGGCTTGTATCTTCATTTAGCAGAAGGGTCATAGTTTCCTTGACCAACTGAGGTTCGATGGATACGTATAGTGTTGTGACATCGAAGGATATCATTAATTTGTCGTTTTCTATCTTTCTACTTTTGTTCTTTCCTAAGAATTCTATTGGTGATTTGATGGAATGTCCGCATAGTTGAACAACAAGGTGTTTCAATTCTCTTGATATGTTGTATGTTGGAGTTTTCGGAAGTGAGACTATTGATCGTGTAATTTTAGTCTACTGTAGAACCGAGGAAGGATAGGTCTATTCGGTTTTCATTCACCATTTGTCTTTCTTTGTTCTTCTTCTTCTTCTTTGAAGAGTTTTTTCAAAGTTTTATTGATCCAGTTTTCGAATGTTTTTTTTTGGATAGGGGTTAGTTTTAAATAGTTGATCAAATCTTTACAAAATGTTTATATCGTGAGCTAACAGAAGTTGGAAATATGGACCATTGGATTCTGACCCAGTGGTTCAATGGTAACGCGCTGGTCGCGGAACCTGAAGGTCGCGGGTTCGATCCCTGCTGGTGGGGTCGTGGGTGCGCACTGCTGAGGAGTCCCATACTAGTTGGACGAAACAGCTGTCCAGTGCTCCCAGGTTTCCTTTGTTCCTCCAACTGATGTCAGTCTTCGATGAATAACAACTTGAAATAATTCCAAATCTCCACAACCCCTCAAAAATGTTTAAGTTGAAAGGAGTAATGTAATGTCCTTTCGACTCATAAAATAAAGTAACTTTGATATAAAATGTTTCATTTATCAATGTTATTACTAATATCAACAATGTTCTTATTGAATAGTTGAACTGGAAACTTACTCTACAAGATTTACAATTCTTTTGTATTTCAGTTGATTGCATAACAACTGTACAATTTGAACAGATATAACATTTTAATGCGTCTGATTTATCTAAATAGTTAATTAAAAAGATGAAACAATGACTAATTTAAAGAGAGAATATATACCTTATCATGTGGAACAAGATACGGATTTTCAACACCAACGTCAAGTCAGTGCTCTTGTATGGCTCAGAGACTTGGTGCGTCACGAAAGGCATTTCCAATAAACTACAGACATTCATCAACAACTGCTTACGCTCGCTGCTGATGATCAGATGGATTGCCAGAAAAAATAAGCAACAAGGAACTCTGGGAACGAAGCAACCAAGAACCTATCACGCAACAAATATGCAGGAAAAAGTGGAGATGGATTGGCATGCACTGAGAAGGCCGACGGAGGACATCACGCGTCAGCCAGTTGCTCGAGTGGAATCCCCATGGGAAGCGACGAGTTGGACGTCCGAGGGTGACATGGAGGAGGTCATGCGAGGAAGAAATGAGAGCTTCTGGGCTGTCGTGGAACCAGGTTCAAAAGATCTCAGAGAACAGAGGTCACTGGAGGCGTGCTACTGAAGCCCTATGTTCCACTAGGAACCCAAGGGACTAATAATAATAATAATATATACCTTATATATACCTTATATATATATATATATATATATATATATATATATATATATATATATATATATACAGATGTTTCACTTACCTAGGCAACATTGTTTCAATTACACGTAACAGAACAGATGAATATGTGAAAGCAGTCAGGATCAGAAAGATAACAAGACAGGCCTTCTTTCATTAATCTGAAATAATCAGTGTGTAGATCTACTGTACTCAGCACAAAGAACAAGATGCTGATTTTCAACACCTAGTCATTCAAGTCAGTGCTGTTATATGGTTTACAAACTTGGCGTATCATGAATGGAACTTACAACAAACTACAGACATTCACCAACAACTGCCTACACAGGCTAGATACTGAAGATGATGATCAGATGGCCAGAAAGAATAAGCAACAAAGAACTCTGGAAACGAAGAAAGAACCTATCACCAAACAGGAGGATTGGGTATACACTGAAAATGGCGACTGGAGCACATCACGCGCTAGGTCGTCGACTAGAATCCGAAGGAGAAACAAGGAGTTGGGCATCCTCATCCTCATCATCATCAACATAGGACCAGGCATTACTGCGTAACGGTCCCAGTTACCACCACACCTCATATCAGCACATCAAGTAAAAAGGTAGTGAGGTGAAGGATGAAGATAAGTGAATGCAGTCAAAAGAAATATAAAGTACAAGAAGAAAGGAAAGAGGAGTGACAAAATGGTGAGATTCGGTATAGCGTTGTTAAGATGAGGATAATGTGCGTATACATCTGCGCCACTGACTTCAGTTCTGAGGCATATCACCTTGGATCTCCAACCACTGGTTCCTCTTGTCCCGTGGGCCCCAACCACCTAGTCTGCATCGTCCTATATGGCTTAAACCAACAGTCAGAGACTTCATACATTGGTGCCATGTCTTAGTTTGGCCACCTCGGGCCTTTTTCCAGCCTGAACCCACCTCAGCCAACATTGTGTGACAAGGGAATCGGTGACTAGGCATACGTAGTACGTGTCCCAACCATCTCAGTCGATGAAGGTTCACAACCTCGTCGACTGACTTACCTCTTCTCCCTTAAAACTCTACACCTAACTTCTGCATTACTCACATGGTGACACCACGGAATACGTCCTATATTACGAAGGCAACGGTGGTCAAACACCTGAAGCCTTTTTGTATCCTCCACTTTCAATGGCCATCCTAGCTGAGGGTGATGTCGAGATGATGTGAAGAAGAAATTAAAGCTTGTGGGCAATCGTGGAGTGAGGTTTAAAAGACTTCAAAAAAACAGTGCTACTGAAGCTCTATATTCCACTAGGAACCCGAAGGGGCATATAATAAAATAATAATATACAGATGTGATGCATGAATTCAATATTCAATGTACCATTGAATCGGGCAGATTATAGAGGGAATTTTCAGTTTTGAATATATCAGTGTAATTAACGAGAAGAACTATGCTTCAATCTGTCTTCACGAGAAACTCATCTAGTGTTATTTTGGTTATCATCTACAAAATGGTATTGTTTCTCACAAATAGGTTGTTAAATTTAGAGTAGATGAGATCAAATGTAACCTGTGCTTATATCAACAGACCAGAAATGTAAGTTCAATTTTCCACAACTGTGACAATAGCTGTCTGTATTCAATGCTTATTGCAGTTCACAGTTAAGATACTCATTCTAAGATTATCAGCTTCGGTTGTGGCCACTATCCATCGAACTAATAATCTTCTTAGTTGATTGGAGACAGTCAGCAGTAAACCCTCCTTGAACTAGATTTCTAGCCTGTTGAGACTCGTCAGCCAGCTGTATCCACAACCGGGACGGAAATGATATCCCGTCAGAGATTTGAACCTGCGTCACACAGTGCTGAAGTCAGCGACTTTATCACTGAGATATTCGGCATACGATCGACCTCCTGTTGGACTACATTAGATACATTGATTCATCACTTGTCAACAACCAATTTTGTGTCAACTGAATTCTGTGGATCACTTTCCAATATGATCAGCAGGCTAGGAAGCTGAACATTGCTAAATCTAGGTTATCACATCAAAAACACAAGATATTCAGCGAAGAGAAGGATTCTTTTCAACGAATTCATTCTCAAGGTGTACATTCGTATATCTATACAGGATATTTAATGACAGTAGTCTGTGAGGAAGATTTAACTTAAATAATGAGGGGGTTGAAATAATAATAATAATGGTGGTTATGATAATAATAATAATAATGTTGCCAGTTGATGATGTAAAGGTTGAATGATAAGAAAAAGGGGGATTGCGTAAGATTCTTAAATCGTTTCGTATGGTGCATACAGATTAAAAAGGAGGGTGAAAGTGTGGTAGGGTTAATACAATACAATCAAAGGCGATGAGGTAATACGAATGAATTTCGAAAGGTTCCAATGAGAAGTGGTGACTGGTGGGGGCAAAGCGTGATAGTCGTGAGGACAGTTACCCGACGATGACATTGGGTGGCGGTTACGTTACATCGTGAGCTGTCAGAAGTTTGAAATATGGACCATTGGATTCTGACTCAGTGGCTAGCTCAATGGTAACGTGCTGGCCACGGAACCTGAATGTCGTGGGTTCGATCCGTGATGGTTCAGGGTTGTGGGTGCATACTGCTGAGGAGTCCCATACTAGTTGGACGAAACAGCTGGCTGTCCAGTGCTAGTAGATTTCCTTGTTCCTTCAACTGATGTCAGTCAGCCTACAATGAATAACAACTTGTAATATGAATGAGATAACAAGTTAATTGGAATAAGGTGAAAATGTCTTGTTAAAAGTTATGATTATTAGGAAGATCAAATGACCAAATAACACCGGAAACAATTAAATATAAAAACAAACTGATAATGACGAGATAAGAGTACAAAGATTAATCTGACAAAAACGGGGAGGGTGTGTGTGAAAAAAGAAGAAGGAACGAAGCACACCAAGACTAAAATGAGTTAAGACCAAAGTAGAGGCGAAGACTGTACTTCAGTTCATGGTTAACCAAGATCGTTGGTGTTTTTAGAAGCTGAACACGGAGGAAACGTGAGGTGTTTGAGCGAATTTGTTAAAAAAAAACCTTAAAATCGCTTGTTGTTCGAGTCGGTTGAATGATTGGAATTGATTAAATATTCAAGGCTAAAACTTCTGATGCATTTTCTTCCACCCTTATTAAACCAAGCCGGAATATGTTCTCGTATATATGTTGACAGTAATCTCTGACTACGGTCGATGTATCATGCTCCACAGGAGCATATGAACTAGTCGATGCACACGGATATGGTTTTGTGAGGGATATTGTCTTTTATGCTGTAGCGTCACACACTTCCCCAAAATCAATAGCCTAGGGTTTGACGACATTCAACATTGATGCTGACCTTGATAGTTTAACTGGGCTCGCTAAGCTGAAGGCACCCGGTCAAGCATCTTCGCCATCTGGCACGCTGTCGTGTTACGTTGCACTGCTCGTATTCGACTCTCTAGCCAGTTAGTTGGAAGTCATCGATATCTTGGCAAAACCATCCAAATATACTATTCCATCCGACTACGCTATCGTGTTCTTCCTTGGTCTCGTATTCGTGGGTATGTAGTAAGTCCGAATAATTAGTGATTGGTCCTTGCGTCTATCAGTTGCACATCTCCATTGCACTCTCTCCTCTCCAGTTTTTCCAACCTGGCTCCATCACTGCCCAGAAGCTTTCATTTCTTCCTCACATGATCTCCATGTCACCCTCACCACAGATGCCCAACTCATTGTCTCCCCTCTGGATTCCACTCGAGAGCCTGACGCGTGATGTCCCCAGTCGGCCTTCTCAGTGCAGGCCCAACCCATCTCCACTTCCTTCTGCATATTTATTGAGTGATAGGTTCTTGCTTCGTTGCTTATTCTTTCTGGCCATCTCATCTGATCTTCAGTATGGAGTGAGCTTAGGCGGCAGCTGTTGATGAATGTCTGTAGTCTTTGGGAAGTGCTTTTCGTAACGCGTCAAGTTTCTGAAGCATATAGCAGCACTGACTTGACTGAATTAGTGTTGAAAATGCGGATCTTGTTCACGCCTTATGCTGAGTGGAGTGCAGTAGATCTCCACGGTAATTGCAGATTAATAAAAGCCTATCTTGCTATCTTTTCGATCTTGGCTTTGACATCTTCATCTGTGCCGCATCTAGTTAAAACAATGCTGCCTAAATAGGTCGAAGAGATTACTTCCTTTAGGTTTCTCCCGTTAATGGTGATTGACGCTTGTTGTTGCTGTTATTGGTTGGGTATCTTCATCACCTCTGTCTTCTGTATATTCACTTGAAGGAAGTGCTGCCTACGTTTCCTCTTCTGTCAATTTGTTAGTTTTCACCTGTAGATCTCCGAGTTTGTGCGATATCGGACACTAATCATTGGCGAAAGTCAAATTTCCTAGGGTATTTTCATCGGTCCAGTGTATCCCCTTCTTCTCGCTTCTCACTGTTTGTTGGATGATCCAGTCCAACACAATCAAGAATATCATGGGTGATAGTAGACGATAGCCTTGTTTCACTCCTGTTTTCACTTCGAAGGCATCATTGAGCTCCCCATTGTGAATTACTTGGTATGTGGAGTCTTCATATAGTTGTTGAATGAGATTGATAAAAGTTTGTGGTATTCCATAGTGTTGAAGCAACTGCCAAATTACTTGTCGATCAACGCTGTCGATGGCCTTTTTGAAGTCGATGAAGTTGAGGTCGAGAGTCAACTTGCATTCTATACTATGTTCTATTTTCTGGAGCTGTAGACACTTTAAAGTGATCACCAAGAGCATATTACTAATGTTACCCCTATACCTGATAATACATAAGAAATTTCACTTCATTCTACTATATTTTTTGGAAAAATATTACAGTACTCTCCCAGATTTTGATATTTAGGTATAACAAGCGAAAAACTACTGAGTTGTTAACAATGGTTACGTCTACGGTTATTCCTTATTACACAGTGAACACTTAACACTTGTAGGCTTCTTGGGTTAGACATTTGACTTTCAACCATTTGATCGTGGGTTCGAACTCTGACCTATCTCCTGAAGTTTGGATAGCCAGTTAGCATCATTCATTCGCCCTAACATAACAGAGGCATCGCACAGACTAATGCACGAATTCCTATTTCGTTGACGAGTGCAATTCAGTGCGAATATTTACTCTAACTATAACCTTTTTGAAAAGGCACAGTTAACTTAGGTAGACAATCACATTGCCAACAATTAGATTCATAATACGTACATAGTAACATGCTCATCATCAATTAGTTTCCTTTCAATGAATCAAAAGTTGACCAGTTGGTTCATTTCTAACACTTTCTTCATCACACAGTAGATGAGCTAAATACCCACGGTATTATAGAGTTTTTATATTGTGTAGTACATAGTGCATAGACTCTTATTTACTTGCTCCTTGTCTTGTCAGATGATCGACACACAGACACCTTTCAATGAATAGAATGTTAGTCATCTGTTAAAATAACTCCTGATAGATGTTTATATGAGTCAATATGTTTGTTAACAGTTGTCTTAACTAGAAGGTCTGGGGGTATACCACTAATTCTGCTGTGACAATCTTCAACGTTCTACGCAATACACAGTATAGTCTTTTTTCAACAACCCAGGAAGGAATAAAGTGGAGCAATAGAGGAGAACAGACAGGATGGAGGAGTTTACAAAGCATAAGAGGAGAGGCTGTGTTATACCACATACTCTCAGCTTCCTAATGTAGAATGTTAGATGGAAACATGTTTTGGAAATTAGTAAGATATAGGGAAGGACCAGAAAAGGTCTGAAGTAAAACAAACACACCGAGATAGATCACACTTGTAACATTCTCTAATGCACAACTATGAATAGAACAGGAATCGTGAGAACTAAACAGTTTACCCAGGTTATGTTCACGTTTAAAACTAAAGTTTATAGTCTGACATTTTGGAGAATTAAGCATAAGACCATTCATGGAGGACTATCGTGTAACTGTAGATGGAAAGGAAATCATTCAGTTGGAAACAATCTATTGAAGAGGAGACAGATAAGTTATGGAAACTGTCAGATTATCAGCGTATTTGATGGAATTGATACCATCTACAGATGGTGAGTGATGCAGATAGAAAGAGAAAAGATAGGGGGGAAAGGATGACTCATTGGGGAACTGCAGTCACAGTAGGCAGTGAGCTGGAGCACTTTCCTGTGTGAACAGTATATTGTTTCCTACCAAAGAGCCTGGTGATTATCCAAGACTGAGTATTTGTCTCGGTGAGCTTGTCCAGAAAAAGTGGTCTTGGGACAGTATTGAATGCCGAAGTATAGTCTTGAAAGGCATACCTAACATACTTGGCATTTTTATCAAGAGTATAAATAATATTGTGATATAACACAGTAGTGGTATCCAAACTGCTTCTTCTACTTTTATATGCAAATTGATTACAGTCTTCGAAAGCCTTCAATGAGCGTTTGATTACAGGTTTTATTAGCTCCTCCGTTATTTTCAAGAACAGAGAGGTAAGTACAATCAGACGGAATTTCGGACATCCACCTGGAGTCTTTGACTTAGATACGGGGATCATCTTTCCAGGCACCTGGTATGGTGTTTTCTAAGAACGATCTGGTGAACATGTTAGCTAATGGATGACATAAAATATCAGCACACTTCGTGAATACGAAGCTTGACATACCATCCAGACGTGAACTGTATGAAGGGTTAAAAGATTTGAGACATTTCCAAAAACATGTTTCCTGATGAACTCTGGAAAACATTCTTCATTAGGATATATGTTGAAAACGTGGAATGAGATAGGTAGGGTGGCGAATAAACGATTTGTTCAAAGCCCAGATGTCAACATGTGGTTCTTTACTAAGGTGTTTACTACCAGTGAGATGTTGTAAAGGTTTCCATATACTAGAATAGTCTTTGCAGGACAAAAGTTTTTGGTTGTGTAGTAGACTCAGACGTTTAATTTCCAGCCTAATTAAAACGTTCAGTCGACGAGCCCCAGCATTATCACTTACTCTGTATAGTCTTTCTTTTTCTCTCCCTAATCTCTGAAGCTGGGGAGAAGATATGTGATCGAAGCGTAGAAAAAGCTTTTCACTGAGGCAACAGATATTCAGGCAGAACTTGAGATAGTATGTTACACCATCAATAGTGTTGTTTAAAACATCTCTGTCAAATATGTTCCCTTGGATTAAGCATGTTACCGTGTGAACAGTTACTATATAACATTTTATTATTATGTGAAGATTGTTTTGTGTAGTTTACCGTGCGATGATCTAAGCTGTGTAGTGGGGATCTCTTCCCAGTTTCATATATATATCAGAGAACATAACAGAATGATTCGAACGAAAGAAAATGTAGAAAAATTTGATGTCATATGTCAGATATTTAAGCAGGTGGTGTAAATTTTAGAATTATACATTAATCAGTATAATATCTGTGATTAGCTGTTCTTTTCAGTACCCACTCCGAGAAATTTAAAACGTCGACTTGTATTTTTTTAAACTTTTCAAGGTAACTTCTTGTACAAGGGGTTATCTGATTGGTCAGTCAATTTCCGGTGAATATGATTGGTTATTACTTTAAGTTTACTTGACACAAACGATCTTTCACTTCAAATAGATAGAGAGGTAAAAGGAGTGTTTCGGTTGAAATAAAAGGAGAGCGTAATATTAGCAAAGATTAAACCACATAATATTTAAGTAGGAGAACTGATGAACAGTAAGTTAAAGATATATCCCTGAAAGTATTCAATGAGTGTCTTTGATCTTCAGACAACTTTTTATCACGATATTGATAGCTCCTCAAATAGGGATGAATTTATTTATTACTGACATGTCTCTAACATACCTTAACATCAACACTCCTCTCATGTCAACTTACTGTATAGTTAACATTGTAGCTTTCTAATCAATCAATGATAATTCAATTAGGATAATAAACTTATGATACAATTAAAAAGGTGATAATGACCAAGTGATAACACTTAAACAACATACCTATATAGTTTGAGGTGATCACAAGTGTGAAAAACAGTAGAGTGAAACAAATATATCGATGATTATTCAACATTCTTCTTCTTGTTTTCAAAGTTAATCCTTATAAGATGTTTACAATCTACTTCAGATTGTCTATTTATAGAAAACAAAAAATTATCAACTAATATTTCTTATCCATACCCTTGAATTCTGATTGGTCAACGGAATTATCCAATCATTGTAGAGTGTACAAATATCAAGGTAATATACAAAATATATTGATTACTAATGAATAATGTACACTATTGAAGATTATTAATTCAAGTATCACTTTTATACTCCCAATTGTAATACATAATTGAAACATGTTTATTCATGTTAAATTTAGTCAATAAGTTTATATATTTATCAATTAGTGTATTCCAATATGTAGGCAGTTTATAGTTCATCTACACTATAGATCTATTGATAATGGGCTCATTGAAACACTTCAACATGAATATATACTACATCTACTGATTTCTTTAGTATTTTCTGTTTTTGTTTATTTTATGAAGTGAAATAAAATATGTTCTGTCTTGTCACCATTTTTAAGAAATGAAGTTGATTAATCTGTTTCGTCATGTTAAAGTACTTGTCAGGAGTGGATACTCACCATCTTGTCAGGGATCGATCCTGGGACTCACAGATTCTTTGGTGACCAGTTTACCTTTCAGATACTGAACTGGAATTATTATTATTATTTGTCCCTTGGGTTCCTAATGGAACATAGGGATTCAGTAGCACGTCTCCATTCCACTCTCTTCTCTGCAAACTTTTGAACCTGGTCCCAAGGCAACTCATTTCTTCCTCACACGATCTCCTCCATGTTACCCTCACCTCGGACACCCAACTCGTCGCTTCCCATCTGGGTACAACTCGAGCAACTGGCCTGTCGCGTGATGTCCCCGAATAGTCTCGTCACTGTATGCCCAATCCATCTCCACTTCCTTCCAGTTGTTTGGTGGGTGATAGGTTCTTGATTCGTTGGTTCGTTGCCAGCCAACCAGCCAGCCAGAGTTCTTTGTCGCTTAGTCTCATTATTCTGGTCATCTGAGTTTCAATAACGAACGTAAGCAGTTGTTGATGAATATCTGTAATTTGTTGGAAATGTCTTTCGTAACGCGCCAAGTCTCTGCATCAACCATATAGAAGTACTGACTTCCAATATCCAATATTGATAGTGCGAGCGTAGAAAACTGGTAGTTTTTGATCTCTCGCGTCTAGTTCTTAGGGCTTGGTTCCAGTTGTTCGGTTTACTCCTGCAGTGGACGAGGAAATCCCCTCTGCTTTCTTGCTTTTAGCTTCGGTGAGGTGGATGTTTTGTGGGTTAGTAGGTTGTAATTTGTAGAGTGATTAGGGAGCTACGGGTTGCTGGGAAGTTTAGAGAACTGCCGTGACTCCTGTCTGTGTAGGTACCTGAAAGAGAATAGTAAGGTAGTGGTAAAGGAATGAAGAGAGAAATAAGGAAGAGAAAATAATAATAATAATAATGTAGGGAAGAGAAAAGGGAAGGAGAAGAAAAGGAGGGGTGAAAAGAGAAATGAGAACGAAAGAAAAGTATTTGGGAATTGCCCGAATGGTCGCGTGGGTTTGGTTCCTACAGAAGAATTAGTAGGTAATGTGGGTGTATTAAGGAGAGAGATAGTGAGTGGTAGTTAGGAGGGAGTTGGGGGTACTGAGGTTGGTGACTACCTGAGTACGTCCGTGGTAGTCCATGCGAGGTGACATAACTGTCTAATCGCCTCTTGAAAGAGTCGATTGAAGGAGCTATAACGATGTGTCGCGGTAAGGCATTCCATAAAGCACATACTCTTAGGGAGAAAAATTTGGACCTGAGTGTGGTGTTGGCTCTCTGGTGTGCTATCTTAATGGGGTTTCCTCGTGAAGATCGTTCAGTTGCAGGCAAAATTGATTTGTTTGCATGGTCTGCCTGATGGGCGATCTTGTATGCCATAATGAGGTCACCCCTTTTCCTGCGATAACCCAAGGTAAATAGGTTGAGGTGTTTAAGTCTTTCAGGATACGTCTTTCCCCTTAGCCCCACAACACATTTTGTTGCAGTTCTTTGTATTCTTTCAAGGAGATTAGAGTCTCTCTTGAGTGTTGGAGGAGCCACCGTATTGAAGACCTCTAGGTGCGGCCGCACGTAGGATTTGAAAATGGTGAGGAAGAGTTCGGGAGTGAGGGCGCCAAGCTGTCTACGCAGAAAGTGTAGAATGGCGTTCGCTCTGGTTGTCATACCTTTGTAGTTGGAGCTGGTGTCCAAGGTGTCGGAGAAGTTGAGCCCCAAATCTTTCTCCATGGACACTCTGGTGATAGCACGGTTGCTCAACATGTACTGGAAGTCGGTCGTACTTGCCTCATTTTTACTGATGTGCATTACTTTGCACTTTTCCAGGTTGAAGCTCAGGCCATTTTCCGACGACCAGAGCTCGAGTTGCTGCAAGTCCTTTTGTAGTGCTGCACAATCGGCTTCTTCGTTTACCACCCTCCAAATTTTTATGTCGTCAGCGAAGAGGAGGATGGGTGAGGATATTTTGTCTGGCAGATCGTTGACAAACAGGAGGAACAGAAGCGGTCCTAGGATTGCTCCTTGGGATACTCCTGACGTCGAGGGTCTCCACTCCGACCTTATTCTGTTCACTTTAGTGCAGAACTGCCTCCCTTCCAGGTACTCCTTGAACCAAGAGAGTAGGGGTCCACTTATACCAGCTGACATGATCTTGTGAAGCAGTACTGTGGGTGGGACACTGTCAAATGCTTTGGCTAGGTCGAGAAATACAACATGTACAGGTTTTCTATTATCCCAGCTTTGTGTCCAGTCGTCCCAGGCGGTTAGTAAGTTGGTGGCACATGAGCGACCACTACGAAAGCCGTGCTGAGCAGTGTGGACAGTGTTTTCCTATTGAGGAATTCCCAGATGGTGTCAGCTACCAGGCTTTCCAACACTTTCGACACAATAGGGAGTAGGGCAATCGGCCTGTAGCTGCCAGGGCTTTTTCTGTCTCCTCCCTTGAAGATGGGTGACAAGATGGCACTCTTCCATTCTTTAGGGAGTTTGCACGAGTCTATTGAGTGCTCAAAGAGGTTGCGAAGTGGTTTGGTAAGCACCTCGGCGCAGTTTTTCAGAACCACTGGTTTCAGGTTATCGCAGCCAGGGGACTTGCCCGGACGTAGCCTAGATAGCTTCTCGAACACCTTTTTCTCTGTAATAGAGACGTGACAGAGGTATTCGTTATTTGCGACCTGGTCGGTGTCGTGGCGAGTCGGTGTGGATCTTGTGTCAGTGCTGAGTTGGGCTTGGAAGTGTGAGCTCAAAAGCTCGGCAATCTCTAGACTGCTTAGCACACTCCCGTCATGGCCTGTGACAAGATTCACTCCCTTACTGGTCGACTTTCTTCTTGACATGAAGCGGTACAGTTTTTGGGGTTGCTTTGTAACCTCGCTGCCAAGTTTGTTTGGTAGGAAAATCTGTCGTTACGCACTCTAATGTTACAGAGATTGCGAATCCTTTTATAGTTCAAGAAGTCAGACTCCCTGCGTGATGTACGCCACTTGAACCAAGCCTGCTTCTTGCTCCGGATAAGCCTCTCTGTCCCACGCTTTAACCATGAGGTTCTCATTGATTGTCTGTGTGTTACTTCTGGTACACTGTGACTGATGGCCCCAGTGATTATTTTCTTCACCTCCAACCAGTGTTCATCTATTGTGAGATGAGTCCAGTCCACTGGCCATGATGCATTCATGAGGTAGTCCCTCATGGTCTCATAGTTGGCCTTGCTGTAGCAAGGGAAGGTGTTGGGCGTCTCCAGTTGCAGAGCCTCCCTAGTTATCATGGAGAAGGTGATTACAGCGTGGTCACTGAGGCCAAGGGGAGGTTGGATGCAAACATCCTCAATGAGAAGTTCATCGTTCGTCAGAACGTAGTCAAGGCGCGATGCGTTTCCGTTAGGTCCCCAGCGTGTAGCATCACCCACTTTCTCTGAGAGGCCAGCAGTCTTAATTGCATCCTTCAGCTTCTGATTGAAGGATCTGATGCGTCTCCCTTCCGTCTCGAAGAGGATGGACGGGGTGTTGAAGTCGCCGGCAATGACTACGGAATCGTAATTTGCAGAGGAAGTCGTTAAGATAGCCTTGATGATCATTTCCTTATGTGTAGGGGAGCTGGTGGGGGACCGATATATGACTCCGAGCAGGTATTTGGTACTGTGGAGAGTGAAGTAGCACCATAGGGACTCTGGGAGCTGGGTTAAGGCCGTATCGCTAACCATCCTTGCCTTTAAACAGAGTTTACGTAGATAGCCACTCCTCCTCCTGCTCTATGTTCCCTGTCCCTGCGGAAGAGTTCCATGCCAGTAACATGCATCTCTTCGTCGGAGATGTCTGGCGAGAGCCAGGATTCGGTGATGAATATGATGTCGGAGTGCTGATGTGCACGCAGCGTCCTCATTTCTGCTACCTTCCCTCTTAGCCCCCTAACGTTGCTGTACATACATATTAGAGTGTGCCTGGTGAGGGGGAGGTCTGGTTGTGTATTTTCGCAGGATGAGAGCTTATGTGGTTGGGTCTACCCTCGCCAGTCCTCATAGGACTGGCATTGTTCCGTTTTTTGGTGTTTTGTTATTAACTTGGGTGGGGGCTGTGGCAGTGGTGGCTTCTTTACTTGATGTATCTAACTCACTGGTCAGCGCCTGTGTGACGACCACTGACTCCAGAGGTCTTGGTGGTTGTCGTCTCTCCTCTTGCCTTGTGGGTCTAGGCTTACTTTCACATATACGTATTGAGCCACCCATGCGATCCTTCGCATTATACCATGCCTGTAGAACGTCTGTGAGGGAGGCATATGAGTCGAACTGGACGGCGAGTAGTCTGGGATTGGGTATGGTCTTCAGGTGCGCTGGCCTTGGCAGTCTACTGACGCTGTTGGCCGGTATACTGTTGAGACCAACTTTGGTTGAGAGCCATTGCCATTGTTGGACGTCGTGAAAGTACCGATCTTTGACCGAGCGGTCACTTGGCAATTCTGGAATCCCATGTACAACTATAGTGTTGTTTCTGTTGGGATTTCCAACCGCTGACTTTCTCTCCTCCTCTCTTATTGACCATG